TACATATACTATAAAAGAAGGCTGTAAGTTAATAATTTTATAGTTTTTTATTTAAAAATTTTTTTGTTTTCAAAATTTTTACCCAGTTAAATACCATAATGAGCTGTTTTGTTAATAATTATCATGGGTGAGAATATCATTGGTAAAGATTTAATTAATTTTATGGCTACTCTAATTAGTACCAAATTGCTTTCTCAATTGTTTTTCATTTTGTCTTTTTTAACTGAATTAATTTTATTGATATGTTACTGACAGACTATTGTATTAGTTTTAGATGTACAACATAATGATCTCATATATGTATATATTGCAAAATGATTAACACAGTAAGTTTAGTTAACATCCATCACCACAAGTAGTTACATTTTTTTTTCTTGTGATGAGAACCTGTAAGATCTACTATCTTAGCAACTTTCAAATATACAGCACACTATTGTTATTAGTTATTACCTATAGTCATCATGCTGTACCTTGCATCCCTAAGACTTTTTTTTTTAATAACTGGAAACTTGTACCTTTTTACCACCTGCAGTCATTTCGTGCTCCTGGCTCTAGCAACCACCAACCTGTTGTCTGTGTCTATGCATGTGTTGGTTTGTTTTTAAATTTAGATTCCCCCGTGTAAGTGAAATTGTACACTATTTGTCTTTGTCTCATTTCACTTAGCATAATGCCCTCAAGGCGCCTTAATGTTGTCACAGATAGCAGGATTTCTTTTTCTTTTTCTTTTATGACTGAAAAATATCCCATTGTGTGTGTGTGTCACATTTTCTTTATTCATTCATCTATTGATGTGCACTTAGGTTGTTTCCATGTCTTGGTTATTGCAGATAATGCTTCAGTGAACATGGGGGTGCGTGTATCTTTTTGAGGTAGTGATTTTGTTTCCTAAGCATAGACACCCAGAAGTGGAATATCTAGACTATATGTTCTATTTTTAATTTGTTGAGGTATATGCATACTCTTTTCCATAGTGACTGCACTAACTTTCCACAGCACTCTGTATCTTTTCCAACACTTGTTTCTTCTCTTCCGGTAATAGCCATTCTCGGATTTGTGAAGTTATACTTCATTGTGGTTTTGACATACATTTCCCTGATGATTAGCGCATGTTGAGCTCCTTTTCATGTTCCTGTTGGTTGCTTGTAGTCTTTGGAGAAACTTCTGTTCATTTCTGTGCCCATTTTTTAATGAAATTGTTCTATTTTTCTGGTTGAGTTGTATGGATTCTTCATACATCATGTATTTTGAATATTACCTTCCTTATGAGATAGATGACTCAATCCTGCTCCTTAGGTTGCCTTTTCATCTTGTTGATAGTTTTCTTTACTGTACAGCTTTGCGGTTCCACTTATTTTCTCTTGTTGTTTTTGTTTTGGCGTTTAATCCAAAAAATCACTGCCCAAACCAGCTTACTCTCACGTTTTTTTCCTAGAAATTTTATGGTTTCAGGTCATACATGTAAGTCTTTCATCTGCTTTGTGTTGATTTTTGCACATGGTAGGAGATATTGGTCCAGTTTCATTCTTTTGTATGTGGCTGTCAGGCTTTTCCAGCATCAGTTATTTAGGAAACTTTTCCCACGGTGTATTCTTGGCCCCTTTGTCATACATGAGTTGACCACATATGCATGGATTTATTTCTGGCTGTCTATTCTGTTTCATTCATTTATGTGTCTATTTTTCTATATTGTTTTGATTACTGTGGCTTTGTAGTTTAGTTTGAAACATGAAGTGTGATCCCTCTGTCTTTGTTTTTCCTTCTCAACATTGCTTTAGCTATTTGGGGTCTTTAGTGGTTGCATGCAAACTTTAAGATTGTTCTTTCTGTGAAAAAGGCCATTGATATGTTAATAGAGATTGCTTTGAATCTGCAGGTTGCTTTGCATAGGATGAACATTTTAACAATATGACTTTTTCCCATCTATGAGTACAGATATCATTCCATTTATTTGTGTTGTCTTCACTTTCTTTCATCAATGTCTTATAGTTTTCAGTGTACAGCTTTGTTTCCTTCTAGATTATATCTAAGTATAATTTTATTCTTTTTGCTGTGGTTTTTTTTTTTTTTTGGCTGTAGTTTTAAATGGGATTTTTCCCCTCAATTTCTCTTTCAGATAGTTCATTATTTGTGTGTAGAAATGCAACTGATTGTAGTATGATGATTTTGTATCCTCAAACTTTAGTGAATTCATTTATTAGTTTTTTTTTTTTTTGATTGGATTTTTTAAGGTTTTCCTTCTATAAGATCATATCATCTGCAAATGATGACAATTTTATGTCTTCCTTTCTGATATTGATTCCTTTTATTTATTTATTTTTCATATTTAATTTTTTCTAGACAGTATTTCCAGTACTATGTTGAATAAGAGTGATCAGAATGGGTACCTTTCTTCATTTTAGAGGAGAAGCTTTTAATCTTTCAGTGTTTCATATGATGTTAGCTGTCATTTGTGATATTGACCTTTATTGTGTTGAACTATGTTCCTTCTATACCCAGGTTTTTTCTAAATTTATTTTTTAATTGAAGGATAATTGCTTTACAGAATTGTGTTGGTTTTTGCCAAACATTGACATGAATCAGCCATACATACCTAAGTTTTCAAGTTTTATAGTGAAAGGATGTTGAATTTTGTTAAATGCTTTTTCTGAGGGATCAAATGATTTTTATCTTTCATTTTACCTATGTGCTTTATCACATTGATTGATTCTTGTATGGTGTACCATTCTTGCATCTCTGTATAAGTCCCATTTGATCATGGTGTATGATTCTTTTAATGTGTTGTGGAATTTGGTTTCCTAATAATTTGATGAGAGTTTTTGTATCCCTGTGCGTCAGGAGTATTTGATTTATATTTTTCTTTTACTGTACTGTCCTTATCTAGCTTTAGTATTAGTGATGGCCTTCTAAAGAAGTGTTCTTTCCTCGTAAACTTCTTGAAAGAGTTTGAGAAAGATTGGTATTAATTCTTATTTGATAGAATTGCCAGTGAAACCATTTGGTCCTGAACTTTTCTGTATTGGGAGGTTTTTGATTACTAATTCAGTCTCTATATTTGTTATTGATCTGTTCAGATTTTCTTTTTTTTCATAATACATTTTGATAGGTTGTATGTTTCTAATTATTTGTCCCTTTCTTCTAGGTTATATGATATGTTGATGTATAACTTTTTGTAATCATCACTTATAATACTTTGTATTTCTGTGCTACCAGTTGTAATGATTTTATTTATTTTGTTGGCCAGAAAGTTCAGGTTTTTCCATAAGATGGTACTGAACAACACCTGACCCTGAACAGACTTTTTTGGCCAGCCCAGCACAAGTCTTCTGCTTTCTCCCCAGTCCAGCCAGTAGGCTTCTTATCCCCAGTTCAGCTCCGTCGCTCAGTTGCGCCTGACTGCGACCCAGTGGATGGCAGCACGCCAGGCCTCCCTGTCCATCACCAGCTCCCAGCGCTTACTCAGACTCATGTCCATTGAGTCGGTGATGCCATCCAGCCATCTCATCCTCTGTCGTCCCCTTCCCCTTCCCCTTCAGTCTTTCCCAGCATCAGGGTCTTCAGATCAGTCAGTTCTTCACATCAGATGGCCAAAGTATTGGAGTTTCAGCTTCAGCATCAGTCCTTCCAATGAATATTCAATACTGATTTCCATTAGGATAGACTGGCTCTTAGGTTTTCCATAGGTTATCCATATTGTTGGCATATAATTATTCATAGTAGTCTTTAGATGATCTGTTTGTATTTGAGTCTTTATTTTTTTCTTGGTTTGTCCAGCTACAGGTTTGTCAGTTTTGTTTGTTTTAAAAAAAAATAAGCTCTTAGTTTTGATCTTTTCTATTGTTTTTCATATTTCTTTTTAATTTACTTTTTCTCTGATCTTTATTGGTTCTATCCTTCTGCTAACTTTGGGCTTAATTTGTATTTTTTTCTGGTTCCAAGAGGTGTAAAGTGAGGTTTTTCATTGGAGTTCTTTCTCGTTTTTTAATGTAGCTTTTATTGCTATTAACTTCCCTTGTAGAACATTTCATGGATTTTGAAATTTTTGCTTATGTATTCACTTGTTTCAAGATACTTCTTGATCTTCCTTTTGGTTTCTTCTTTAGCTAATTGATTTTCAGGAGCACATTGTTTAGTCTTCCTATTTTTTTGAACTTTTCAGACTTCTTCCTGTTATTGATTTCTTGTTTTATGCTCTTGTGAATGGGAAAAGTTTTTGTGTGTGTGTCTTATGTTTGCTAAGATTTGCTTTGTGACCTATCTTAAAACATACTGGAGAATGTTCTGTGTTCATGTTTTATAAATACATGTTAGGTCTGTTTGGTCAAGTTTATGGTTCAGTCCAATGTTCCTTCTTGATTTTTATTGTTTTTTGGTCTGGATGATCTAATGATTACCTAAAGCGGGGTAGGTATTAATGTCCCATACTATTATTGTATTATGTTTTCATAATAGTGATATTATGTTCATCATCCAAAACTTGCTTTTAATACATTTTAAATATTTAACCAGTAGCTTATATTTTAAACTATTTTCTCTATAGGTAAAATTTGTTACCACACCCTAAGTTTTATTTTGTATGTAACTTCTGATACATGAACTATGCTTGAAACATATTAACAATTACTTTTGACTTATTATTTGATTACACATAAGTGTGATTGTCATCTACTTGTGTTCAGGGAATGTTTACTTTTTAGACTCCTTTGATATATTTAGCACTTGTATTATTCTTTGTTCAGTTTGCATGTGCACAATTTTGGAAGAATAAAACATTTCTTGTTTTTTTCTTTCAAAGGAACATGGAGAATTTAAAGACAGAATAGGAATGAAAACCTATTTCTCAAATCATAGTTTAATATTCTTTCTACTATTCAGATCACGTACTCTGCTGTATAAGACTTTATTTGTGATCTGTTATTTTTATCTTGAATATATGCCAACTGGCTTCTAAATTTATTTTTGTTTATAAGAACTCAGTATAATATTATTTTGTTTTGCAGGAGTTCACAATCAAGTAAGACAGACAATAATTATGCAAAGCAGACTTCTTACACTAAAGAAAAACAAAGAGATGACGATGGCATTTCTTTTATGTCTGATACTCAGCCTAAAGGTTTGTGAACTGCAGAAAACTGTTGGCATTTGAATTTTTGTCTGTTGTAGTTTTAGTAGAATTTGAGTTTTACCTATATTTATCCATGAAAGTAAAGAGAGATTTTTTAGCAACACAAAGAAAATTGCTAAATTTACTATTTATATCCTACAGTGTACATCTCTTGATTTATTTACTAAGTCTGGAAGTTAAATTGGAATATTATATCTTGTCATTTTTTTGTTGGGGCTGGGCATATAGCTATAAAGTTATAATGTTAATTTGTCTATTTCTAAATATCACTTTCATGAAAGTGAAAATTTTCATCACTGAGTCCTGTCCAACTCTGCGACCTCATGGACTATAGCCAGCCAGGCTCTTCAGTCCATGGAATTCTCCATGCGAGAATACTGGAGTGGGTTACCGTGCTCTTCTCCAGGGGATCTTCCTGACTCAGGGATCGAACCTGGGTCTCCTTCATTAGTAGGCAGATTCTTTACCGTCTGAGCCGTGGATGTATCTAATCATTGATATTACTGCTAACTCGATTATTATTATTGGTTTCACAATGTCTATCCTCCTAATATGAAATATATTCTTGTTTTTTTTAGTTTATTTTTATTTTTTCATTTATTTTAATTAGTTGGAGGCTAATTACTTTACAGTATTGTAGTGGTTTTTGCCATACATTGACATGAATCAGCTATGGATTTACATGTGTTCCCCATCCCGATCCCCCCTCCCTAAATTTATTTATTTTTAATGTGAGGACATTTGCTCTACATTGTGTTGGTTTCTGCCATACATCAACACGAATCAGCCATAGGTACATTCTTTATTCATTAGAATTTTTCTCAACTCTAGGAGGATTCCAGTACAAGTCACTTTTAGCAAATTTAAAGGTAAATACATCCCAGACTTCTAAATATTCATTGTAGCCCTCCTTGCTTGTAGTATTAATGAATTGACTTTCTTTTTGTCTCTTTTTAAAAAGACTTTTAAATAATTTAATTTAAAAATTTTCACCAAAACCAATTTATATATTAGTCAAGTGTGAAACTAACACTTCGATTATTGATAGCTTCAAACTAGTTGAAATATTTTATTTTCTGAATGATTTTATAGATTATTGACAAGAAAAGGTGGTCCTTTAATGATACTGTGTAAAAGTTTTTTGTATTTCTTTTGGAACACAGTTGTTTTCACATTTTAAATGCTCTTTTTCATAGAAGAGAAAACTTATAAGCAAACTAGTACCTTTGGCGTATACAAGAAGCCAGCTGTAACTCTTGTGAGGGCAGTCTCTAGAGAAGGTATTACGACTGTAGGTGTAATCTTTCAATTGATCATTAAATACGATCTTCATGTAATGGAGGACCTTTTTTTTTTTTTTACAAATTGTCCTTTTCCTAGAAATAATCATCCTTACTTACAGTATAAAAATAAAAGTGGATTTGTATTTGTGCAAGTGGGCTCAATTCAGATACTATCAAAATACTGTTAAACCTTCACTGCTTTCCTTGGTAGAGTAGGAATAGTTAAATAAAAAGCTTTCTAATTTATGTCCTTCAGTGTTCCTTCGAAGTAACAGAATTCTAGTCTTACAGCAGGAAAAAATGAATGATAAAGAAACACTATATAGTTTCTTAGTATCTCTGAAGGTTCTCCTCTTAGGTAAAGTGTTTTTAAAAATGTTAGCTATTGAAACATTATTAAAACTCACAGTATTTTCATCCTATAGGTAATTGTGTCCAATACCAATTGTTTAACAAAAGCCTATATAAATGGTGTTCTGAATTAAATCCCAGGTATACCACTGAAAAAAGTTTTTTCTTCCATTTTTTTTTATAATTGACAGCACTGTATAAGTTTAAGGTGAATAGGGTAATGATTTCACTTATATATATCATGAAATGATTATCACAGTGAGTTTAGTCAACATCCATTTATTCATATAGATGAAAAAATAAAATAGAAAAAAATTTTCCTTATGATGTGAGCTCAGGATTACTCTTAATAACTTTCATATATAACGTACAGCAGTGTTAATTTTATCTGTCATGTTATACGTTACATACCTAGAACTTATTTATTTTATAATAGGAATTTTGTACATGTAGACTGCCTTCATTCAACTCTTCCTCCCCTGTCTCTGATAACCACAAATCTTGTTTCATTTTCTGAATTATAATTGACCTATACAGCACTGTATTAGTTCCTGTTACACAGCATAGTGATTCAGTATTTCTGTGCATTTCAAAATAATCACCATGATAAGTCTAGTTATGATCTATCATATACAAACATTGTGGTTTAGTCACTAAGTTGTGTCTGACTCTTGCGACCCCAGGGTCTGCAGCCTGCCAAGCTGCTCTACCCATGGGATTCTCCAGGCAAGAATACTGGAGTGAGTTGCCATTTCCTTCTCCAGTGGCTCTTCCTGACCCAGGAATCGAACCCAGGTCTCCTGTATTGCAAGCAGTTTCTTTATCAACTGAGCTATTCCCCACACTAGGTATACCTTTATTTTGTAGTGCCTTAAGTTTGCCTTGTAAAACTTGCTTTTATGAATATAATACATTGGAAATATTTAACATTCTTTTGTTTATAGGAATTTGTTAGCTGTTTAATTTTATTTGGTAGCGATATTTGCAAGTTAAATATATGTATATATATATGTATTTTTTTCAGGTAGAGTCCTTGTTTTTTTAAATAATGTCTGACTCTATCTAATACATTTATTCCAGTTTCCCATGAGATTGTCTTGACTGATTTGCAGTTAGTGAACTGCTAGGAGGAAAACTGCTATATAATAGAGTTTTTCCAAGCCTTAGTTCTTTCATCAGTTTTTTTTTTTTAAATTTTATATTTTCTGTTGGAGTATAGTTTATTAACCATATTGTGTTAGTTTCAGGTGTACAACAAAGTAATTCAGTTATAAATAGACATGTGTCTTCTTCAAATTATTTCCCCGATTAGGTTGTTGCAGAATATCGAGCGTAGTTCCCTGTGCTACGCAGCAGTCCTTGGTTGCCCACTTTAAATACAGAAGTGTGTGCATGTCAGCTCCAAATTCTATTACTGTTTCCTCCTATCCTTCCTGCCTGGCAACCATAGCTCTCTAAGTCTGTGAGTCTGTTTCTATTTTGTAAATAAGTTCATTTGTATCATTTTTTATAAGATTCTGCATATAAGCAATGTCATATGATATTTCTCTTTCTCTGTCTGACTTAACTTCACTCAGTATGATAATCACCAGGTCCATCCGTGTTCCTGCGAATGGCATTATGTTACTCTTTTTAATGGCTGAGTAATATTCCATTGTATGTATGTGCCATATCTTTATCCATTCTTATGTTGATGGCCGTTAGATTGCTTTCATATCGTGGGTATTGTTAACAGTGCTGCAATGAACATTAAGGTGTGTGTATCCTTTCCGAGCATGTTTTTCTCTGGATATATGGCCAGGAGTAGGATTGCAGTATCATATGGTAGCTCTGTTTTTACAAACCTCCATACTCTTATCCATAGTGACTACACCAATTTACATTCCCACCAAACATGTAAGAGGGTCCCCTTTTCTTCACACCCTCTCTAGCATTTACTGTTTGTATATATTTTGATGATAGCCATTTTGACTGGTGTGAGGTGATATATATCACTATAGTTTTGATTTGCATTTCTCTCAAATCCTAAAAGATGATGCTGTCAAAAGTGCTGCACTCAATATGCCAACAAATTTGGAAAACTCAGCAGTGGCCACAGGACTGGAAAAGGTCAGTTTTCATTCCAGTCCAAGAAAGGCAGTGCCAAAGAATGCTGAAACTACCGCACAGTTGCACTCATATCACAGGCTAGTAATTTTCAAAATTCTCCAAGCCAAGCTTCAGCAATACGTGAACCATAAACTACCAGATGTTCAAGCTGGATTTAGAAAAGGCAGAGGAACCAGAGATCAAATTTCCAAAATCCGTTGGATCATCAAAGAGCAAGAGAGTTCCAAAAAATCATCTACTTCTGCTTTAAAGCCTTTGACTGTGTGGATCACAACAAACTGTGGAAAATTCTTAAAGGGAATTCCAGACCACGTGACCTATATCCTGAGAAATCTGTATGCAGGTCAAGAAGCAACAGTTAGAACTGGACATGGAACAACAGGCTGGTCCCAAATCAGGAAAGGAGTACGTCAAGGCTATATATTGTGACTCTGCTTATTCAACTTATATGCAAAGTACATCATGTGAAATGCTGGGCTGAATGAAGCACAAGCTGGAATCAAGATTGCTGGGAGAAATATCAATGACCTCAGATACGCAGATGACACCACCCTTATGGCAGAAAGCGAAGAAGATGAAAGTGAAAGAGAAGAGTGAAAAATTTGGCTTAAAACTCAACATTAACAAAACTAAGATTGTGGCATCTGGCCCCATCACTTCGTGGCAAGTAGATGGGGAAACGGTGGAAACAGTGGCTGACTTTATCTTTTTGGACTCCAAAATCGCTGCAGATGGTGACTGCAACCATGAAATTAAAAGACGCTTGCTCCTTGGAAGAAAAGCTATGACCAACCTAGACAGCATATTAAAAAACAAAGACATTACTTTGCTGATAAATGTCTGTCTAGTCAAAGCTATGTATTTTTCAATAATAATATATGGATGTGAGAGTTGGACTATAAAGAAAGCTGAGCACCAAAGAATTGATGCTTTTGAACTGTGGTGTTGGAGGAGCCTCTTGAGAGTCCCTTGCACTGCAAAGAGATCCAACCAGTCCATCCTAAAGGAAATCAGTCCTGAATAGTCATTGGAAGGGCTGATGCTGAAGCTGAAACTCCAATACTTTGGCCACCTGATGCGAAGAACTGACTCATTGGAAAAGACCCTGATGCTGGGAAAGATTGAAGGTGGGAGGAGAAGGGGATGACAGAGGATGAGATGGTTGTATGGCATCACTGACTCAATGGACATGAGTTTGAGTAAGCTCTGTGAAGTTGGTGAGAGACAGGGAGGCCTGGTGTGCTG